TGCAACTTAGTACATGTAGTCAAAGACTGTGTTTGTGCATGGCCTTCTGGCTTGTAGCTTGTATATTCAAAGATAGGTCAGAGTCTACGCTTAACTTTCAATTTTTAAAATACAGTAGTTTTAAAAGCCTGATTTATTTGATTGCCAGAGAAGTTTCTTTGACTCGGAACAAGATGCACAGTCAGCTGCCCAATGTCAGAGGTGTACCCTAGCCTGTTTCCAGAGGGTTGAGTAGTGCCCTTGCTGTCAAAGCCATTTCAAAAGTTTGCTTTTAAACTCTCCTATAGATGCTCTTTTACTTTGTTCCAGCAGATACTTTTAATATGGAGAGACAAACTCATTTTTTAGTCTAGGACTCCCATATGAGATGGGTAAGTTGCTAGCTTAGATACTTTCTCTGAGTTGCTCTGCTGAGTGTTTTTTTAAAAAAAATCTCCACTAAGTGAGTACCCTGGTGATCAGTTGAGGTCCCCAATTCTCAGTTTTTAATTAAAAAAAAAATCAAAAGGTCTTTGTAAAGTATTGTCAAGTTTTTGAAAGTTGTTACAATTTTTGAACAGAGTAAAAATGGGATGAAAAAGAATACTGAAAAGGGAAAACATTTCCTTACCTATGGTAATGTAAAACCTGTAATCCCTCAGGTCTTTCACAAAGAGAGTGAGTACAAATTGGAATTTATTCACATTCATTGCGTAAGCATACCAGCAAAAAAGCTCGTGCAAGCACATATTTCAAATGTATTGTTTGTATACGCAATGTCATAACCTGGCTGAGTGAGTTGGGAGAAAAAGGAAATCCTTGTTTCTTTCATATTTTAGTGCTTTCTCCATTTTAAGTGCAAGTTAATTTCTCTAGTCCTACCATTTCTGGACATCATATTATTTGAACTTTATATAGTCAGTCAATGTTATTCCAGTAAAAAGATACGTCATTGTTTGTATATGCAAAATTAGGTGTATTTGTGTCTGGAGGATGAAGACCTAGCTATACAAAATCATCAGCTGAGGTGATTCTTGTGAGGAGAGAATCCCAGGGGTTTCAGTGAAGCATCAGGCATTATGTTTTCATTTCCATTTCATTCTTTCTCTTGCTCCATTTTTATCTGTTATCCTTCCTTTTCATTTCATGGTGAACAGTAGTTATCTCAGAATTCTTCTATAGCAGTTTAGATAGCTGTACAATATTGTTGGTGCACAACATGATTACTACATGTTTCAGAGATTAGTTCAGATTTATAACTTCCGTATTTTAATTGAGGCCTGTGTAATAGTTTCATTCATGAAACTCTTCAGGCAATTAGGTAGGGCTGTAGATTTACCATTTAATAAAGGATGTGGAAATAATAGAGTTGGTCTCACCACGTGCAACATCAGGCTACAGTTGTTATCTTTATGTTTTGTTTGGAGGAATGTTAAGAGGTGATTCTTAACATGGAAGTAATAGCTGAAGATTCAAAAGGATACTTCTTTTAAGGAGGAAGAGGTAGCTGTCAGGTTTTTGCAGTAGTGAACTTTTTTTTTTTTTTTTTGCATGGGAGGGACAATGAACAGCATTTAGTGTTCTCTGGTGCTCTTTTGTGCTTTCGCAGTATGCTTAATTTATGGTATCCTAGTGAAGCCTGATAATGAAGCTGATAGTACTGTGGCAACCATATGAAGAAGTTAATTGTGTTTTACATCTGGTAAAAAGGGTTTGTCTGACCATGAAGTGGGATATTTATGCTTTATACAGATTATACAAAATATGTTTTGTTCTTCCTGATAATCTTGAGGCTATTTATACTTGCATAGACCTGGCACATGTTTCATGTTAATTATCTGTGAGTAGTCCACAGTATGGTAGTGTTTGGTTGCTTTGCCTTTTTTTTTTTTCTCCTTCACACAAACAGTGTCTGGGTAGGCAAAAGCTGTGTTACTTGAAATTTATAAAACCTAAATATTGTTTCATGCAGGTGTGGTTATTGTTGTTTTTTTGATGATATCTCCCAGTCATTGAAAAGATCTGCCCAGTCTGACTAGTCTGATTGTTATGTACACACCTGTCTGAAAGTATTTTCACCACTCAGGCTCATGCACAATAAAGCCTTAGTGATTTTATTATTATTATTATTATTTTTGTTAAATGAAACATTTTGGCAATGTGAAGAGTGGTAAAGATGGCAATAGCAGAAAACCAGATCCTAATGAAAGTCTTAAGAAGGCCATCTCTAAATTTATTACAAACGAATGAATTTTGGTTTCAGTTATCAACCAGGGTGTACTAGGTCCCATAGGAAAGATTAATTACTGTAGCCATCTTGAACAAAAGGCAGTGGCTTAGTGGTGGTACTGTGGCAGCGCGCTGCACCAGTTAGGCGTGCCCAGCCAGGATGCAGTTCTATAGCTGGCTGAAGCTGATGTATGGTTGTTACTACTGAGAAGGGGATCCCACTCCAGCTTCCTCGTTTCTGTTGTGGGCAGTGGCACTTGTCAGTTTTGCTTGCTGGTTCAACTGGGACTACTTTGCTTTTATGGTTGATCTTTCAGCCAGATTACCTCAGGTCAACTCATTTTGCTAATACCAGTGTAAGGATGATGGCAGGGTGATTTGGATTAGGCATCACGTGAAACCATGTTTTTATATTAGGAAGAGGTCGGTTTAAGCTGATCATGAATCTTACATTGTGTTACCGTGTCATAAAGTTGCAGTAACACAATTGTTTTAAACTGATGCAAATGTCATACAAGGGGCAGATATGACTGTGTACCGGTTCTGACATTCGTACGGCCGTTGATCTGTGAAGGCTGGGTTTCTGCCAGACTTGTTTCCAGCCTTAGTTTACTGCGTGACAGTGGGAGTGCTGGACATGTGTTTTGAAAACCGGGAGGGACATGGCTTGTCTTTTACAAAGGCTCTAGTGATCTAATGGATGGCCAGACATCTTGCTGGTTGGTCCATGTTGCTTGTGATCACCTCATCCTATAATAAAGGAAAGGGTATGTTTTGGATATTGCACAAGTATTTAGTAGTTGCTGCATCTATGCCTTGGGCAGAGGATGCCCATAAATGCAAGTACATCTTGCATTGTGTCTCCTGTCAGAGTTGCTTGTATTGTGTTGACTAAAATATTTCAGTGAGCTCTAGAAGGGCTTGTTGAAGCAATTTAAAATTACAGCGTTGGTGATTTACTTTGGTTGTCAGAATGTGCACCTGTACCTTTCCAGGTGCAATCTAACCCCGTAAGTCTTAAACTACCAGTGGAGGTGGTGAATTTTGTATATTTTAAATATATCTAAGAAGTGGGTGCTTGTTTCCTTGGTTGTGCTGTGGGAGGTGTTAGCACAGCAGAGGAGCAAAAAGAAGAGCAGAGTGGTAACTTAAATCCACAGAGGATGGTTTGCTGGAGGTGATCCTCTGATATCACAGGTGACTGTGCAACATGAATTACATTTTGTAAAGAGATGTGTATATATATTTAAGATTTCTGAATTTTATTGGAGTGCATGCTTCAGTTACATTCTGCAGATGAACAAGGTCAGTCCTTCATTATCGATTATAATTTTGGAATGCATTTACAGTTAATAGTAGCTTGTGGCTGCTTTCTGGAAAAGGGACTGAGGGGTGATATGACAAGAATTGAACACAACATCATAATGAATCACGGGGCATGCTGCTGCCAACTGAGCTTACGGTTGTGGCAACTATGTTAAGTCTAGAGCAACAAACATTTGGGTTTTTTTGAAATAAGCTAGGACTCAGATTGGAACTGGCTATAAAAGAAAATGCATTTTTAGCAAAAATGATCTGTTTACTGATGTTTCAATATGGCCACTTTCAAATTTTTGCTTTAATAGTCAGCTCTACACGTTAGAGCTTTCCAGGGAGTAACTTGATTTTCATGCTTTCCATATGATAGATCACTCAAGGCTCACAGTTTCTAGAAAGATTAAAGGTAGTATTAAGCATGCTGTTCTTAAACATGGATTTCACCTTGAAACATGGTTTCTTTGCATTAGCTTTCACTTTGTTCTATTTGTATCTCTCATCTCTTGGCAGTTTCTTCACTGTCCATCCCACAAGTTTTTCTTGTTTTGCTCACTTACTACAGGATAGTCTGTTTAAAACCGAACAAACTGTATTTTATTTGTTAGTATATTAAAAACTTTCCTTTAGTTGGTATGTGAAATAATATGGAACACATAAAACCTTTTTTTTCTATATCAAAAGCTTTAGTCTTAAGAAATTTTTATACAGATTGCAAGGGAATCTTTTCTTAAATAAACATAATTGTCTGAAAAGCAAAGCAGGAAAATACAAACCTTCTTTCTTTGAAGCCAATGTCAAAACTTTGAACTTCATTAGAATTAATATTTACAAGGTGAAATCCTAAGAGAATCTGTGCTCAAAAAAAGCAGAATGCTTTTGGAGTATTTACATTTTTGGGAGGAGAGGAGAATTAAATTTTGGAACTAATAAAGTAAAATGTCTTAAACTCTAAGCAGAAATGGGAAAATCTTAGATTTGTCCTAAATGATAATGATGAGAACAATTAAAGCTTCATAAATCCAAAGCAAAAGTCTGCAGAAGTGTGTGTAGAGAAGCATTTAAATAAGTTCTTTTAAAGAAAATTTGTTAAATAATTTTATTACATTTTTATTTAATAAAAATGTTGTGCCTAAAGGAAAATAGCACTGACTGTCTTCAATGAAAGGCAAAACATCAGGATCCTATATAGCTTCTAGTGACAAAACACAAACCAAGGTGGCT